CTCCGTCCTTGGGAGGAATGCTGGTGAGCCTCTCTTTCACTCGTCAATATACGTGGGCTGACCAGCGTTTGGCGCCAGTGCTCAACGGTGTCGGCCTTCGTGTAATCGATGTCAGCAACGTCATTATCCGCAATATCAAAATTTCCAAGGTCTTGGCCTCGGCTGGCGACGCTATCGGTGTCCAAGCTGCCCACCAGGTTTGGATCGACCATCTCGACTTGTCCAGCGACCGCGATCATGACAAAGATTTGTGAGTTCGCCGCAAAATGAGTTGAGGAAAGAGTACTGACGAGTTCGCGTCCTGCAGCTATGACGGTCTCCTCGATATCACCCACGGAGCTACCGGCGTCACTGTCAGCAACACCAAGTTGCACGACCACTGGAAGGCTTCCTTGGTTGGCCACTCCGATAGCAACGGTTCTGAGGATGTCGCTATCACCGTAACCTACGTCAACAACGTCTTCTCTACCTTGAACTCCAGGTGAGTAATTCACGAATCACTGCACCACACTGTTAGCCCATGAGGCTAAATGTGGGCACATAGGACTCCCTCCTTCCGCTTCGGCCACGGCCACATCTTCAACAACGTCTTTGACAACAACAACGACGGCATCAACACCCGTGACGGTGCTCAACTCCTTGTCGAGAACAACGTCTGGACTGGTAAGCTCCCTGCTGCTATTTATCTCAACGATGTCATGCTCACCCGTGAGTGTAGGCACCAACAAGCCCCTCTACGCAACCGACGAAGGCTTTGCCGTCGCACGCGGAAATGACTTTGGAGGCGCTTCTAACACTGCGCCAGTGGGCTCCTTCACCACCGCCCCATACTCCTACTCCCTCGTTGCCGCCGGCAGTGTCAGGTCCGCTACATCCTCAGCTGGGGCCACCCTTTCTTTCTAAGTCGGTGCCATCATTGTTGGGTAGAATAGACGGAGGCATTTGTTGAAAGATATATACTTCCTTCCTACCGTGTTGTGTGTGCTCGAGTAGCTTGAAGTACAATGAAATCAGATTCACTTGAGTACAGACCAGTAATAGCTGCAAAGCTATCTGTGGGCCTGGGTTTATGCAGCAGCTCCATATCTTCACTGGCCAGTAAACGACACGAACACTTACGAGCAATTCACGCGTAATACCACACTCTTGGCAGAAGTATTGGAGGAGTGGAAAGTCAACAAATCAGGACCATCGACGGGGCCTGTCTTGACACACATTGGGTATGTGACTACCTAGTAAGAGCGCGAGTGCGATGCTGATAGGGACCGTCATTATTATTGTCAGATTCTGTCTATCGTTGACACCGAGTCTATAGCTAGCTTCATCTCCCTGAAGACGTTGAATCAGCGAAGGGAGCACATTGGGTATCACGAACCCCGATTTGAAGGTGAAAGGCTGTCCGCGGGATGTGGGTCGTGGATGCTTCTGTTTTCGTCGAGTTGGATTTTGATTGGATATGCACTGACTGGATGTCATTCGGTAGTCCCATATACCCACAGCCCATACGGAAGGCCCAGTATATACCGTTGCGGAAAGAGCAGCAGACTTAATTAAGAAGAGTTGGGGAACTGTGTAGAAGCGGAGGGGAGTATCTTGCAAGTCCTCGTGTATCACCAACCTTATGAACGCGTGTCTGCCATCGACCACGTATGTCGACGTGAGGTTCCTCGTAGCCTTGAGGTAAACTTTCCATCTAGAACGAAGATATCTACACGTATTCCTTTTTTAATACACTACATTCACAGAGCGACTTCGATAGAGCACCGCCTTTCGTAGTCATTCGGTATGCGGATGAGGGAGCGAGAGAGGGAAGACGACCCCGCTATCCGATGTTCTGGAAGGCCTTCATCTTTAACCATAAGCTTAGACAACGTCGATTGCGTATCACCAGCATTGTGTATCGCCGAAGAAGCTTCCGAAGCAGACGTAGATGTAGACTGAGATGACATGTGAGACGCTTGGGGCGCTGTGAGGAGCTGCTTCGAAGTGCAGGTGCATTCGGGGAGGCAGAAGTGTCTAGATTCGTCGGGAGCAAAAGGCTGAGGACCCTGGGCGAAGGCCGAGGACGACGCTGGAATGGAGGGGTAGCTACGCCATGGAAGTAAGAAGGCTAGAATGACCGATGGAGGAAATGGCGATGGCGACTCGTCGATATCCCGTATCCAGATTAATCGATCGAATTTGTAGGCGACGATGATTGAGACGGTGATCAGGAATAAGCAGTACGAGGCGACTGTGAGCCCATGTAGTCAGACATTCAGTCAACAGATGCTTTACTCGCAAAGCGAGATGACTCACGTAGTGCGGTTTTGACGTATGTCACGATCTGGAGGCCGAAGAGTACCCCATAGATGAAGTCTGGTGCCCGTGGTGTCGGCTTGAGCGAAAGAAGGATGAGGACCAGCACTAAAGTATCGCCACCAATGGTCAATCCCCAGCGAAGCGACACGGATAGATGTCGCCCTACCGAGTTCGAAAGGCAATATTGTGAACGCCATAGTAGTTTCGTAGCCTATCAGCTGAGGACGTCGACTACATGATTTCCGGAGCAATCTGGAAAGGCGGGGTCATTCAAGACACATAGAATGTGGTGTATATTATTCCTCACACCCAAGCACAACACAACGCCGCTATGGCGGATTCGAATGCGACTGCTATTAGGGCGTTTCCGTGAAGTACATGTCGGTGAATTGCCAAGGAGATACTGAAGCAACTGGTATACAGTATGAGCAAGATGGCTGCACTGAAGTCAATGGCGTTCGTGAGCAGGAGAGTGTAATCACGTACACAGCAAGCACCTGCGTACAAGTCGAAAGCTAGGTGCCATTTTTGAGGCCCTAGGCTCATCCAGCGACTAGCCACTGCGGTACACGGAAGGATGGTGTGATGGTGGTATGGAAGAGAAGCCGCTGTCTGCATGGCCACCATTCGGTCCAGCCAAGCGCTACAGGCTGTAACACTAACGGCCCTCATTTGTTGAATACTGCAAATCCAGAGGATTATCTTGCGCACGTCCCAGTGGCAATGGTTACAACCAAGACGTCTTCAGGGTCGCTGGCCACCCGAAAGCTTCAGCGCTAAATTTCTTACACCCAGCCATGACACCCACCGTTGTCCAGTCCATCAGTGTCCTTGGAAAGCGCAAAGCCTCACAACGCTCGAAATCGTTGGTGATACATTTATCGTCGGACGCAGGCTCCAGCTATGAAGAACCCGACTCAGATCATTCCAATACCGTGAAACCGTCGACAAGCATGTCCGCCGTAATGATGGTCAATGGCACCCTGCAGCTGTGCACAAAGAGACGGTACAAGTGCACGTTTGAAGGATGCGAAAAGGCTTACACGAAGCCCTCGCGACTGGAGGAGCATGAACGGTCTCATACCGGTCTGGTAAGTAACCTTCGGACGGCACAAGACGGCATTTACAGAGGGCGCGTATCAGCGGCCGTTCGTGTGCGATACATGCCAGAAGTCGTATCTCAGGGAGAGCCATCTCCACGCACACGCAAGAAGTCATTTACCTGAATCGGAGAGGCCTTTTCTGTGCGATTCAGGGAATTGTAGAAAGCGCTTCTGGACATCTCAACATCTGCAGGCACATCTACAACTCCACACCGGAGAAAAGCCGTTCAAAGTGCGTTTTGAATACACATCATCCATGGTTCTGTGCTGAACATCTCCCAAGTGCTCTGAAATATATTGTGAAGAGGCCTTCGCTAAGCACCATCAGCTGAGAACGCATATGTGCACCGTCCACGCGCCGCCTGGTACAAAACCATATCAATGCACTCAAGCGGGCTGCAGTAAATCTTTCTCCACTAACCAAAAGCTACGTGCACATACCAAGACACACGACGGTATGTAGGCTTCATCTCCACTACATTCACAAGTCTCGAACGTAACAATATTTGCAGACAAACGGTATATGTGCGCCCACCCAACCTGCTTGGCTCCCACTTCCACACCAAGATACTTCACTACTTGGACGGCTCTGCAACACCACATGCGCGTCGACCACCCTCCAACATGCACCCATCCCTCCTGCAACGGCAGAGTATTCACATCCCAAAAAGGTCTGCGCGCCCACCAGATGCTCCATGAGGAACGTGAGGCCGAGGCGAGGTTGGATGCTGAGATGCACGATTCGGATGCGGAGGACTCAGATGGCGAATCGCCCCCGCGAAAGAAGAGGCGAGGCGGAGAGCTTGGGAGGGACTGGAAGTGCGATGTGGATACCTGCGACAAGAGCTTTAAATCCGTAATTAAATATTACTCCCTTAAAATTATGCTTACGCTTACGCTGAACAGAAAAAGGCATTGGGAATACACATCAAGGTCAACCATCAAGGACGCCGGGACTTTGTATGCCCTCACTCTACCTGCAAGAGAGCCTTCGGGTACAAACACCTCCTTCAGCGGCATCTCGCGAAGATACACAAACCCTCTGGAGATGCTACGAGTTCGGAGGCCGAGGAAACAGAGGTCGATGCACATGCACATGACTCAGACGCACTACTAGACATCGACAATATCACTGGAAACAGTTACTCCAAACGGGCATCGGAGAAGGTGGACGCGGCGAAGGCGCTAAGATGTCCTCACCCTCGCTTGGAAGCTTTGGGGATCCCAACAACTGCTCCTGCTTCTGTTATGGGGACAGAGTCTTCGTGCGACTATGTGTTCTCGCGCGCGTATGACCTTCGCCGGCATCTGAGGGCTGACCATGGAATTGAGTTGGAGAAGGAGGTCATTGATAAGTGGGTGGCAAAGCAGAAGGCCTTTCGTAGAAACATCTCTCAGTAGAGTAATTATAGATGATCCCTATCTGAACTCGATCACTACGGGATTCCATGGTGCAAGTTGCACTGCTAGTGAAGGACTCCGCCGCAGCGTTGGGGCTCGGAACTTCGTCGACTATCCGACGACGGCGTGGCACAAGAGAAATGACGTCTCCGTGAACGTCCTTGTAAGCGAACGACGAGCAAAAACAAAAAACAAAGGCCTTACCAGGGCTCGAACCTGGGTCACTGGAAATCAAAGTGATTTCAAAATCCAGTGTGATAACCACTACACTATAAAGCCAAAGAAGGGGAGGCCTTACCAGGGTTCGAACCTGGGTCACTGGAAGTCAAATACCTTCAAAATCCAGTGTGATAACCACTACACTATAAAGCCTTGATGACCAACGTTCCATGGTTGAATCATATTCTGCGTTCGGATTGCGGGACATATAAAAGACAGGGTAAGCGAGTTACTCATTATACAAGGATTCTGACTATCTGATGCGTGCGTGAAAGGAAACGTATTCAACGCCAGGTATCGTTCTCGATGAAAGAGCCAGGAGCAGGCGTGTTTATGACACGGTTGGGGTCCGACTCCCATGTCACTGCACCATTGAACTTCCTGATGAACTTGTATTCGATCCTTGTGTTCGCTGGAACCGAAACAGTGACTATCAAAGTAGACTTCTTGAGTTGTCATTCTGAGAGGAGACGAAATGACGAGCTTACCGCTCCAGATTGGGTAGTTATCAGCGTTCAGTGCGATGGCGTTGTCGGGGGACCAGTTCTGGAGTGCGTCAACAGAGCCGGTCAAGAATATATTCTCTGTGGTTTTGCGTCAGCGTACCCCCACTCGAAAGAATTTGGTCCGAGCCATACCGCCAAAGAAGGTTGTTGCCTGAACATTGAATGTGACGGAGACAGAAGAGCCGCCCCCTCCCCCTCCTGGGCTTGTGTTCCTCTCACAGGTTGTAGGGACAGTCAAGCCACTGGCACCCCAGCTGACAGGCGTTTTCCCGTCTCTTGCAGCGAAGGCGGTCAAGGCAGCAGCATAAGACCACGTCAAGTCAACGGCACTAAGAGGGTGGCCGTCGTTACGGTCATATTGTTCTGAAAGTCCGCCATTGGATGGGGTGAATTGAGCGACCTTGGTGACAAAGCCGTCGGCGAATGTTTTCACAGCTGAAGTGAGCGTAGTGAAGGTCGACGTAGAAGCAGCGTATGTGCCCACGGCAACGCCAGGGCTGAGGCTAGCGAAGAAGGGCTGCGAGACGGCAGTGACGGTGAGCGAGCCTTGTTTATTCCAAATGATCAAAGCGTCGTATAGCTGCTCGGCTACGGCGAGGGTGGATAGATACCAGGGGTTGCCACCAAAGTAGCTGTCCTCTGGGTAGCGACCCGTGGCGACAGCCTGGTTGGCGGGAATGCCAGAGTTGACGGTGTAAATGGAGCGGAAGGCGTTAACATAAACGAAGAGGTTGGCAAGGGCCTTGTCTGAGCATGGTTGAAAGGTTGCGGCATCGCATCCAGCTTCGGCGTCGAAGGTATGTATGGAAGTCAGCACCGTGTTTGAATCTCTTCCTGACCTTCCTCCACCAGTGTTTGCAGTCATGAAGTTGCCAGACGGATTCCAATAAGACTAGGGCGCGTCAGATATATTGATAATCCACTAAGAATTATTGTGTACTGACCTGCAAGAAGCACAGTGCATTGTCGGCTTGGGTTGTGTAGCCGGCGACGACGCCTGTTTGGCCGATAGCTTGGGCCAAAGCCGCACCCTGACGCAGAGAGCGGTGTTGGACAGCAGTGGTGAAAAAGGAAGCTGAATTAACTTCCTCCCAAAGGTCAAATCTAGGATTTGCTGTCAGGATGTGGAGGATTTTGATGTACTACGTTTGCGTACCCGGTCAGGTTCCAAGAGTTAGCCACATAATCGAGGTCAAGTTTGATTATGGGCCACAAGGAGTTGGTGACGTATGAAGCATTGTTGGTAGCTAGAAGGTGGTTCGCCCAGTTGATCAATGCAATAGACCGAAGAGCGGGACCATCTATAGACATTGATATATATTAGACGGTCCACACGGTGTTGCAAATGGTCCTTACCCCTCTGCGGACGTCTAGAGGTAAAGGCGGATTTGTCAGTCTTCGGAGAGAATTCTCTAAGCCGAATGTACTGACCCCCAAGCTCCCGTAAATGCGGTCAAGTCGATATTGAACTTTGGCTCCCCGAGACCCCCGGATGAGACAGTACCTGATGGATTAGACACTTGTTGAAGTATCGTCTGCGACCTGACGTAATTGTCGATATGGGGTCGAAGAGAAGTATCTGTCCCGCTGATGACTCTGCAATCATAGACGCGTTTTAGTCAACGAAGTTCTGGATAATCGCTTGGAATGAGCAAACAACGCACTGTTCAATGATCGCCTGGAAGACCAGGGCTGAGTCGCGCGTCCAAGTAAAGAGGTAAGGTGGGTCAGTCGCCGAGGGCGAGGCAATAACGACCCCAGCTTGAGCACCCTGTGACTTCGCTCCCGAAGGACCGATGTTAGCGAGTAAACCCGCTTTGGCGATCGGTCCTTCTTTGGCGATGAACGCGTCGGCGCTGGATTGGGCAAAGGCGAAGCCTGCTGTCAATACAGCGGGTAGCAGAGACAAAAAGCGCATGGCTCTGATGGCTGTAGCAACGGAAATCCTGTGGGGGATGGAGAATAGTCGTCGTAGGCCTGTCCTATTTTATACAATTTTGAGTTCTCTTCCGTTCGGTTGACTCGCCGTCCTTTGCAGCCGGCCCTCGCTCTGGTACTACTCGGAGTACGCAATAGCCACGAGTGTTGAGCAAAACGAGTCGCATGATCGTGATAGCACATGGCTTGCCAGTGATCGAAGTCCAGAAACCATACGAGCACATACCGGCGGGGTTTTCTTGACATATCAAAGCTTGTTTATATCCGTTACACATCAACGCGGGTGTTTCTCCAGAAGTCAAGCCACCTGTAAGATCCTCGTGTCGGAAGAAGCGATTGATTTCACTGTAGTGCATATTAGCGCCCCCCTAGTCCGCACTTAAAAATACAGAAAACCACTTACACGTCATGAATGCGGTTCAATAACACTCCCCACTGCCAAGGGGCACTGGGAAACACGGCACGAAATCATGGAGAAGGCTGGGGAAGTGTGTGCGGTCGCCTGATTTTGATTTTTACGCTGGGAATCTCTCTTCTTCCTACTCGCGATGCTCGGCGAGAACTTGCCAGGGGAAGAAGCCCAGCCGTCTTGTTTATCCAAGGCGAGTATTTAGCTCAATCGATTCAAAGGAGGTCATCAAAGCGGAAGTCGATGAATAGGCTTGTGATAAGTCAGGCGGCTCAGGCCATCGTTCGGCGTTGGTCAAGAGAACTTGATGCTTGATTCGGACTCCACTTCAGAGAACTTCCAGAACAAGCGACCATAGTTAGCTAAAGCTCGTCATAAATCGTGTGCTGTATGCAAATCGAGGTTACTTTACTGGAGTTAAAACGGTGGGTTGCCAACGAGAACAAGTCCGACGTATGAAAGAGCATCACCACATGGTTTTGACTGCCCATTCAAAGCGCTGTGACCCCCGAGGGTACGGTGAACCACGATCGCTCTGGGTAATCCTGTAATCCGTTCTCCCCGCATAACCCCGAGAACTGGGCTGGGGCTGTTCTCAAGATTCAAGAGTAAGTAAAGGAAGTCTTTGGAAGTTACCCTAGTTTACCAACCATTGGAAGTTGGACTAGCTGACTCTTGGGGGCTGGCTTGCCGTCAGTAGTCATGGTAGACTTTGACCAGTCCTGCAACATGTTTATTTTCTGAAGAATATCTGTAATTGACAGACTTGGATACATAACCAAACCCTCACAATTGTTAGTTTCATGGGTTTCCGATATTATGCCCAGCAGAGTTGGACAGTGTTAGTAGCAGCTCAGCAAGTGGAAGAAACATGGACAAGTTTCATTGATACTTTGTGCGCGGTTGCCTCTGGCCGTGCTTGCGATGAAGAAGAAGACGTCGCTTCCGGGGCTGCGCAATTGCCAAGATTGCGCTGTAAAGTGACCGTGTGAATAACATTGGAAGGTTCCCAACAAGATGAGAACTGGAGGCCAACTTCTCGAGCCTCTGAGAGTCGGTTTGCAGTTGTACCATCAACGATGAGAGTGTCGCATCATGAGCCACCGCTGGGCCATCTTCCGCCATCTCTTCGGAATATCAGACCTGTGGGCGGGTCATCCTTGAGCGACGGCGGATGAATAACCTTGGAGACCAAGGAACAACGGGCGCTGGCATCCCCTTTCCTGTCCTGAACAAAAGGGCGTGATCTCGCGGCAACACTGCAATTAGCTGCGGAACGATGGTATGCCTCACGAATACTCCATGTGACGCCAATGTGCCGGGGATGGTCGCCGTTCACACTGCATTTGGAGTAAAATTTAGGGTCAATAAGCGAAACTCATATAAAATGCGGCAACCTCACGGTTTCTTGAATCCTGTTTCCCGCTTTCTCTACTCTACAGCATGTTTAAACCGTCGACTATTCTGTCCCTCACCTTTGCCGCTGGCCTGGTCGCCGCTCAGTGAGTGCCTTTCACAGCCACCAGGGCTTTTGTGCTAAATTACCTCCTAGATCACTGTCAGACAGCTGCCAAAATGCTCTCAGTGGCATCGTCACCAACGCCGATACAGCCAACTGTCTGAATCCATCAGCTCTCATTTCTATCGCTTTAAATGGAGGCAACACTTCTGTCATCCAACCCATCGACACCTGGTTGACCGGTCTTTGTGCACAAGCACCATGCACGAATGCGACGCTAGAAACCACCACCCGTAGCATCCTATCTGGATGCAGCACTGATTTCGGCAGCTTCGGTCTCAACGTTGACGACGACTCGGCGGCGTCTTTCGTGGTGGCCACTGTCCAGCAGTACTACCCAACAGTCCGCAAGGTCGTGTGCCTCAAGGAGTATGTTTAAACATTCCCCCTTCGAATCGTACTTATTATTCGCGGAGCAGTTCAGACAAGCTGTGCGTCACTGAGACATTGACGACTGTTGAAAGTTTAGTTGGGCCGCTTACTGTCAACAATGTGCCGTCTATCCTCGGGACGATCATGTCCCAGACCCAAGTCCCCACCAATATTTCCTGCACCAGCTGTGCGAAGGAAGCGTTCAATATCATCAAGCAAGATGTACCAAGTACTGCCGACGCAATTAATCGTGACCTAGGAGCACAATGCGGCGCCGATTTCGCTGGTATGTTGATACCCTTTTTCCAGTGTTGAACTTGGGGTTAAACTTTTTCAGATGGTAACACTCCATCGGGTATCAGCCAGAGCGCATCAACTGCCAGCCCTGGCACCAATGCTGCGAACAACG